ACAAACACTATCTTTGTAGTGCTTTCGCCAAGAAAAAACAGGTTGATAGCATATATCGGGTGTCCGGTAATGAATGGATAACCTTGAAATGTCTTATAGTACAACTTATGGCCGTCCTGAAAAAAATACGAAAAATAATATATCACAAGTAGTACCTTTGATATATTTTTTTTTTAAAGAAAAGTCGATTCTTTTCTATCTTATTTTACTGTCTTGAACACTATGACCAAAAATGAATGATTTCTATTAGTTTTTTGTTATATTATTATTATACACTAACTGTGCTTATAGGTAAAATGTAAACAATATGAATAGCTTTTGCAGTTTTTATTTAAAAAATTCGCAAATCAATTTATTTCTGAAAAACATGCAAAAAATATTATTTAAGCGAAGTTCAAACCTCTTGGGTATGAAAAAAATGTATGAATGTATGGGTGACCAATAATTTTACAATAATATCGGTTTCGTGTAGATTTTATAATGGTATAATTCATAAATGTATCTTCCATAAATAGTGTATAATATTCCATAAAATTTGACTAAGTAACAAAATTTGTAATATGGGAACATTTATTAAATTGAATTGTCTCTGATCATTGGGAATTAATAAAAACACATCAGGAGTTGATCATACATGAAAACAGCTATTTTTAAACAAATTGAAACCAAATTAAGTATTAGAAATTAACTTATTTAAATGTAATAAAATAACCAATTTAAATCTTGAAATGGTTACTTTACTAGCGTGAAATGGGTCGTGTGACCTTCATATTTGCTACCTGCTGCCTTTTTGTGTTAGACAAAGAGAGGTCTGAATTGGGTAAGTGGGAGAGAGAAGAGCTAAATGTAAAAGATATATAATATATAATAGAATATTATAATTAAGATTGTTCATGAAAACATGATCATCAAATTCTATAAGACCAAAAATAATGTTGTACATACACAAATGCGAGTGAAAATTAGTATAAGTACTACAAACCTTCAAGCTATCAGTAGTTGGTTCACATATGGTTGGCATCTGAACAGGTAAGATTGAGTTGGGTTGGCTATGGTTGGCACCTGAACAGGTAATGAAGGTTCCAATACTAGCATCTGAAAATTACAATGAGACGATTTTTGTGAACAAAGGTGATGATCAGTTTCAACATTACCTGAGTAAGAATCATTATGGTAATATCAATCTACATAATTAGCAAGCATTAGTTTGTTTCTTATTTATATGAGAAATTGGTCACTGTGCTCTAAATAGGGAATATGCTTGAAAAAATATTCATAAGACCATACAATTTATCTAAAAATATACAGAACATAATGCTAACAGGGCAATAGAATCAAAATTGATATAAAAACAAACATGATACAACCATTTTAAATAATTATATCTATCCCTCTCGCGAAAATGCTGTTTTGTATGGCAGATGTATGGACGGCACAGACATTGCCATCATAGTCTTTATCGGACTTCTCTTTCTAATTGGTATCTTTGTAGCTTTATAACATTGTCGCTGATGAAGGTATTTTAAAAATTAATTCGTAATTGTTTACTAGAGCTAATAGTTAATTAATTTTTCAAATTAAAAATGCATGCCAGTAAGACATCATCATCAAACTCTATAAGACCAAAAACGTGAACAAAAGTTTCACAAGTTTTAATGTTGTATATATATATATAATGTTATACATGTGAGTGAAAATTATTATAAGTACTACAAACCTTCAAGCCATCAGTAGTTGGTTCACATATGGTTGAACAGGTAAAGATGTAGTAGGGTTGGCTATGGTTGGCACCTGAACAGGTAATGAAGGTTCCAACACTAGCACCTGAAAATTACCATGAGAAGATTTTATTTATGTATTTGTTTATTTTATTTAACAAGTACACTTAACACGGGGCGGGGGTTAGTCTACTCCTAACTTTTTGATTTTATATACAGGGTGTCCGGTAGTGAATGGATAACCTTGAAATGTCTTATAGTACAACTTATGGCCGTCCTGAAAAATATACGAAAAATAATATATCACAAGTAGTACCTTTGATATATTTTTTTTAAAGAAAAGTCGATTCTTTTCTATCTTATTTTACTGTCTTGAACACTATGACCAAAAATGAATGATTTCTATTGGTTTTTTGTTATATTATTATTATACACTAACTGTGCTTATAGGTAAAATGTAAACAATATGAATAGCTTTTGCAGTTTTTATTTAAAAAATTCGCAAATCAATTTATTTCTGAAAAACATGCAAAAAATATTATTTAAGCGAAGTTCAAACCTCTTGGGTATGAAAAAAATGTATGAATGTATGGGTGACCAATAATTTTACAATAATATCGGTTTCGTGTAGATTTTATAATGGTATAATTCATAAATGTATCTTCCATAAATAGTGACTTATTGCCATTAATGTAGAAAAGGAGAAAATTTGACTAAGTAGCAAAATTTGTAATATGGGAACATTTTTTAAATTGAATTGTCTCTGATCATTGGGAATTAATAAAAACACATCAGGAGTTGATCATACATGAAAACAGCTATTTTTAAACAAATTGAAACCAAATTAAGTATTAGAAATTAACTTATTTAAATGTAATAAAATAACCAATTTAAATCTTGAAATGGTTACTTTACTAGCGTGAAATGGGTCGTGTGACCTTCATATTTGCTACCTGCTGCCTTTTGTGTTAGACAAAGAGAGGTCTGAATTGGGTAAGTGGGAGAGAGAAGAGCTAACTGTAAAAGAGAACTTAGTGCGTCACACGACCTGCTCGACTTCGCATGTATTTATTTTGTCTCCTTTGCAATTATTTAAATCAGTGTTAAAACGACCACTTGGCTATTTTACCGGACTATTTGTTTTTCTTATTGATTTGGACTTGTTTTGCGTTTGGTGATATTTTCGACGATTTGGCTTGTTTCTGGACTAAACTGGACTTTTGGACTGGACCCGCAATTTTTTAATAAAATTTTGTGGAGCGATGAGTCAACGCTTAAAAGAGACGGTTACTTAAATTTACACAATTTACATAGTTGGAAACTAGAAAATCCCCATCTTATGCGTGAAGACAGGTCACAATACCAATTTAAAATAAATTATTGGACCGGAATATTAAATGGTATGATAATTGGCCCATTTGAATTACCGGGGGAATTTAACGGGGCAAAGTTATTTGGAGTTTCTTCAAACTGATCTCTCCAATTTATTACAAGAGGTTCCCGAGGAGCTGAGGGAATCGTATTGGCTGCAAAATGACGGTTGTCCTGCGCATTATGCTGTTCCGGTTCGTGCATATTTAAATAGCAGATACCCAAATAGATGGATCGGACGTCTAGGGCCAATTTTGTGGCCTCCACGTTCACCGGATCTAAATCCATTGGATTTTTTTTACTGGGGCTGTCTGAAAGAGGAAGTATACTGTAAGCCCGTCCGGTCTTTGGACGAACTGCGCAGTCGTGTCAGAGAAGCCGCATCAAAAATATGCGAGCGACGGTACACTAGACTGCTCAGATCATTTATCCGAAGATGTAGGGCATGCATAAGAGTGTCAGGCAAACAATTTGAACATTTGTTGTAAATTAATGAAAAATAAAATATTTTAATTTTAAATGTTGTTTTTATTAATCCCCAATGATCAGACACAATTCAATTTAATAAATGTTCCCATATTGCAAATTTTGTTACTTAGTCAAATTTTCTCCTTTTCTACATTAATGGCAATAAGTCACTATTTATGGAAGATACATTTATGAATTATACCATTATAAAATCTACACGAAACCGATATTATTGTAAAATTATTGGTCACCCATACATTCATACATTTTTTTCATACCCAAAAGGTTTGAACTTCGCTTAAATAATATTTTTTGCATGTTTTTCAGAAATAAATTGATTTGCGAATTTTTTAAATAAAAACTGCAAAAGCTATTCATATTGTTTACATTTTACCTATAAGCACAGTTAGTGTATAATAATAATATAACAAAAAACCAATAGAAATCATTCATTTTTGGTCATAGTGTTCAAGACAGTAAAATAAGATAGAAAAGAATCGACTTTTTCTTTAAAAAAAAATATATCAAAGGTACTACTTGTGATATATTATTTTTCGTATTTTTTTCAGGACGGCCATAAGTTGTACTATAAGACATTTCAAGGTTATCCATTCATTACCGGACAACCTGTATACCGATTTCTCAAAAGCATTCGATAGAGTAAATCATAATATTTTATGTATTAAATTAGCATGTTATGGAATACATGGGAGTCTGTTGAAATGGACTGAATCACACCTCAACAGGAGAAGTCAGGTAGTTACTATAAAAGGTTTCAAATCCTCACCCGTTTCTGTGACATCGGGTGTCCCACAAGGGTCCCATTTAGGTCCTTTATTTTTTGTTACGTTTATTAACGATCTCATTGATAAATTGACATGTCCATGCCTGTTGTATGCAGATGATTTGAAGATATTTTCTGTTATCGATACAAGGCGGATTTATATTTGCCTGACGTGTTGTGTCGTGACGGGCTCTGACGTGATGGCTAGTGTTCACATCTTTATGTTGTGTTCTGACGGTCTCTGACGATATTTTGAATCAATACAGTCATAGCTCTCGGAGAGTTCATACGTTTACAATGTTTTCCCATGAATCATCCGACTCTGATTCAGAGTATGAAGAAGATATTGAATTTTTGGTGCTGGCAACTCTTATAAAAAAGAAAGAAATAAAGAGAAGAAGATATTGGGTTCATCCAGTGAATAATAAAAGAGAGTCTAAAGGCGAGTTTCACTGTCTCGTTAAAGAGATTGAGAACGATGCTCAAAGATTTTATCAGTATTTTAGAATGTCCAAGGCACAGTTCGAGGAAGTTCATTCATTGATTGAAGGGGACATAATAATACATACGAAGTTTCGTAAACCTATAGGGACAAAAGAAAGACTTGCTGTGTGTTTAAGGTAAGGATTTTTTTTAACATTAATAGTAAAGAAAGGTAATCAGTTATCATCAGAAAAGTCTGCATTGCTATAATATGATGAGATGTTATCTTCTTCAAAATTATAAAGTGTTGAGGCCGATTGTTGAGAGTTGATGTTGTCGAGAGTTGGTGTAGCTGGGACTGCTGGAAATGTCGTCATGGATGTGGATGGTTGAATGGGTAGCTGGAGTGGCAGCGGTTGTTGTGGCCGAGTAACTATCTGGTGAGTCACATTAATTGGTGTTCTAAGAATTTGTGCTTGTGTCTGAAGTTTCCTTATTTCAGCTTGTGATACAGCAGTGTGCAAATCCAATTTTATTTTGGTCTGATCTAGTTTCGGAAGTTTTTTAACTGCTTTGCTCATGCTCAGAAAAAACAAGTCTGTTTCATCCGTCATATTATCCTGCTGCTGCTTTGAATGATGCTTATGGATTCTCAAATCGTGCGAAGACTTCATCATATCATATAGATCCTGTAAGTTTGGTTTTCTAACAGGCTGTTGGGAGTGCGAGGAACTACCAGTATGTGGTGTTGCTGGACGAGAATTGTCTGATTGAGTACTTTCTGAGTGAAATTCTGGAGATTCAGGAGGTGATGAAAGATTTGTTGTTGTCGACCTTGATTCCATAAATGGCTGTAAAAAACTCATTTGTTCTTCATATTTCCATGGCGGGATAAATTGAGCGGCTTGCCCACTTTTTTATTTTTACGGCGTTTCAATGCGTTGACGTAGCTATTTCGTAATTTATTCCAGTCATCTTTACATTTTTCCGCTGAAACAAAAATAAATTATCTGTGTTTTTATATTACAGATTTATGGCAACTGGAAATTCTTTTCGATCATTGGGGTTCAATTACCGTATGGGGTTTGCTACAGTAAAGATCATAGTAGAACAAGTATGTAACGCAATTTGGAAGAATTTGGCCCCTATTGTAATGCCCCAGCCTACAGAACAAATGTGGAGAGAGATTGCGAAAGGATTCGAAAATGTATGGCATTTTCCGAATTGTATTGGAGCATTGGATGGAAAACATATTTCTATAATATGTCCAATAAATGCAGGATCCACTTTTTATAATTATATAAATGAGCATTCTATTGTACTGCTTGCACTTGTTGATGCGCATTACAGATTTATTATGGTAGATGTAGGAGCGTATGGCCGAAATAGTGATGGTGGCATTTACCAAGAGTCGTTAATGGGAAAAATGTTTGAAAGCAGTCAATTAAATGTGCCACCGAATAAACCTATAAACCAAAATACAGAACCTTTACCCTACACTATTGTGGCAGACGCGGCATTCCCACTGAAAACGTATTTATTAAAACCTTACAGTAAAGCTAAATTAGTTAACAATAACCCAAATAAAATATTTAATTATCGCTTATCACGTGCTCGCCGTACTGTAGAAAATGCATTTGGAATATTACGAGCTAGATTTAGAGTGTTTCAGGGACCTTTACAAGTACAACCAAACATGGCGGACAAGATCGTACTTGCTGCCTGCTGCCTTCATAACTTTTTGACCCAAGACACACAGGAAACACAAGAAACTTTGATGGATGAAAGCGAGGTGAGCGACGGTAATGGCTTAGTAGACATCGAACCGTTAAATAGAAATCCATCTCAAGAAGCTATTCAAGTTCGTGAAGCATATAAAACATATTTTGTAAGTCCCCAGGGACAAGTTCCATGGCAAATGCAAGCTATTACACAAGGTAGAACACGGTTTAATTAAATAAAGCAGTATAGTACTTACGGGGTTGTTTAATTTTTTCTCCTATCTCCTCCCAAACAGATGCTCTAATGGATTGGTCCCTATATTCTTTACATTTGGTGTCATAAATCACTTTATATTGTCGTACTATTTCTATCAAGTCGTCCATACTTTAAATTCTTTTCTAAAACTTTAAATCGAGTGGATAAACAAAAAACGCACGTGGCTCTGACGCGTCACAACGCAATACTGTCGCGTGCACACTTGTCTGCTGCGTCGCCAGGCGGCCGCTCCCCCGCCCACCCACCTCCACCCCTCTGATGCGATCGGAATCTCGTCTGATGCGTCGCATCAGAAGCCATCACAACAGATCGCGACACACAAATATAAATCTCACCATACTAAATGTATGAAACCGATACCATTCTGATGCGTCACAACACAACACGTCAGACAAATGTAAATCCGGCCACAGTCAGCGATTCGTTCAATCTTCAGTCGAATTTAGACTCCATTCATAAATGGTGTAAAGAAAATCTAATGCATGCAATACGAGAAAATGTTTTTGTTATCATTTAGTAACAAGAAGCACAGACTTACATTTGAGTATAAAATAAATAGACAGGTACTTGATAGAAAATCCGTAGTTAAGGATCTTGGAATACTGTTTGATGAAAAGCTTACGTTCCGCGATCATTACGATCATGTGATATCTAAAAGTACAAAAGTTCTTGGCTTTATATTTAGAACTGCAAAGACTTAAAAATCCACGAAGCTTTCTTATTTTGTACTGTTCCCTAGTACGCAGTATTTTAGAGTACAACATAATTATTTGGTTTCCATAGTACGCTGTCCACGTAGATCGTATTGAACGTGTTCAAAAGAAAGGGGATTGCCCACTCTTCATAGACACTTCGGCCATGGGTGCCCACATATAAAAGTATATAGATATGATAATATGCAATTAAAAGAATAAAATGGTAAAGGAATTGCTTTAAAAAAGTCGGGATTTTAAAAATATATAGGTTTTTGTTTTCACAAATACAGTTTTTTAACAACTACTTTTATCAAGTTTATCGCGTTTTATTTCCTTGATTTTTAATTCCCGACATTTCGGGTGCTTCCCAGCACCCATGGTTACGGCGGACTGAGGTGACTGACGTCCCAATGTCTGTTAACCTGGAATACCTTCAGATTTTTAATTTTTCGTTTATGGTCCGATCTACAGAATGTACTTACTGTGTCTTGAAGCCTTGCAGTGGTATGCTTGGGTTTAGTTTTAATTTCATTAAAAAGGGTCCCAAGCAGGTGGTAGTACCAAGCCTCCTTCTCTATTTAAATAAGGATTTTTTTTAATTTCAATAGTCTCACGTATCATCCTTGATAGGAATTGATGTTCCTTCGAGAGGATTTGTGGTCCATCAAATCTGATTTATGTATATCTGGTTGGGGCCGTCTAGGATATCACAAACTGCAAACTTCCCTGAACTTTAATGCTTCACGTCAGCTATATGTTCTTTTACGCGGGTTTTAATTGTTCTTTTCGTTTGCCCCATATATGAGTGACCACATTCACAATCAAGGGTGTACACTCCTGCACCTTTTAGAAGAATATGACACTTGATTGATGGTAAGAACTCACTAATCTTCTTCAGAGGCTTGTAGAATGTTCTAATAGAAGCTCGTTTCAAGATGTAGCGGATCTAGTCTGTGACACCCCTGACATATGGTAGTACTGCACACGCTTGACTGTGGCCGGCTTCACTCGGTCACTGTGACGTAGGCGCGGGACCCGAAGCTTGTTGACGTGCAGAACTGACGGCCAGATGTTTGCTGCCACAGATCCCTTGTGCTCTCTGTAAAAAAGATTTGCTCATGGTAACTAACTGTGAAGGATGATGGTGAGATTCATTGTTTTCTATACATAGTGTGACCTATGGTGTTGTTAGAATTTTGGATGACTAACGCATCTAGGAAAGCTAAGGAATTATTTGCCTCTAATTTACACATCTATACATCATTCAGGAACTGAGCAGGAAGCAAAATATTAGTCTGATGCCGTGCCCAACCCAAATACCATATTACTGTCATAACATGGGCACAGCATCTAACAGTTCGACGGCCGACAGTACTTTTTAATTGCATTTCTACCAGAACCATTGCCACTAATTAAAATATATATAAAATACAGTTTACGACTAATGGTGATGACTTGCAATTCTAGCCCTAAGTAAAGATCAGCTAGGGCTTAAGTTTATTTCTTCCAAAATGCTGCTCCTGTGGTTATTTCAGAGTTCTGTCCGGTAGCAACCATTAAATCTTATATGCTCACCATAATAGGAGTGAGCTTGCTTTAATTGGTATGTGCCACAAGCAATTAATATTAAGTCGTTAAAACAGAAAATTCCCTAACATTTTTAGTATACATTTATATTTCTATAGTCTGCCCTAGCTCTATTTAGATTGCTTTCCCTAGCATACTCAGACAAATCATTATTTGTCTCCATATTTTAGTGGTCTATGGTACTGAAGCCTTTTCGGAAACCGGCTTGTTCGGGAGGCTGGAAGTCGTCGAGTCTGCGTGCGAGACGATTCGTAATGACTCGAAAACAGCACGTAGACGCGGCTCAGAAGGGAAATCGGTCTGTAGTTCTTCAAGAGAGCGTTGTCGCCTTTCTTAAAGAACAAGACCACCGCACTTCTGCTCCACGCCTCTGGAGTAGTGCCACCATGGAGGACGGAATTGAAGAGCTTCTGAAGGACTTCAAGTACCGGTGTTCCACCCGCTTTCAGAAGCTCCGCTGTAATTCCATCCTCGCCTAGGGCCCTGCCGTTTTTAAGGTGCTGGAGAGCCATTCTAATCTCGCTTAGACTGACGTCCGGGATATCATCGGAATAGTGTCGGATAAGACTTGCTCTTGGATCGTTACTCACACTTGCGTGTGGCTCCAACGATGATGTGTACAGCTGCCCATAGAACCTCTCAATCTCACTCAAAATCTCAGGTGTCCCGGAAACAATGCTGCCACACTCAGTCTTCAGCCTTGACATTTGGCTCTTACGGGCAGACAGATCTCTGGCAAAGACTTTGGAGCCCTGGTTCCGCTCGATCGCAAGGCATGGCAGATTGTACAGAAGACTGAAGAGTACAATTTGCCACTTTGCCTGGCGTATGTGGACTATGAGAAAGCCTTTCATTCCGTCGAAATTTGGGCGGTGCTACAGTCCCTTCAGCGGTGCCAAGTTGACTGTCGGTATATCGAAGTGCTGAAGTGTTTGTACAGTAGGGCTACGATGGCTATCCGAGTACAGAACCAGAGCTCGAAATCTATCCAACTGCAGAGAGGTGTAAGACAGGGTGACGTTATATCCCCGAAACTCTTCACCGCTACTTTGGAAGACGTTTTCAAGCTACTGGACTGGAAAGGATACGGTATTAACATCAATGGCGAGTACATCACTCACCTTCGATTTGCCGACGATATATTCCTTATGGCAGAATTTCTGGAGGACTTAAGCACTATGCTCAATGACCTCAATAGTGCCTCCCAACGGATAGGTCTTAAGATGAACATGGACAAAACAAAGATCATGTTTAATGTCCATGTCACACCTATGCCGGTAGTTGTTGGGAGCACTAAGCTCGAAGTTGTTGACGAGTACGTTTACCTGGGACAAATAGTCCGACTAGGTAAGTCCAACTTCGACCGAGAGGACAATCGACGGATTCAACTCGGCTGGGCAGCGTTCGGGAAATTACGACACATCTTCTCGTCAGGTATACCTCAATCTCTGAAAACTAAAGTGTACAACCAGTGCCTGTTGCCAGTGATGACTTACGGATCAGAGACGTGGTCCTTCACTGCTGGCCGTATGAGGACGCTCAAGGTCGCTCAGCGAGCTATGGAGAGGGCTATGCTCGGAGTTTCTCTGCGTGATAGACTCAGAAATGAGGATATCCGCAGTAAAACCAGAGTGACCGACATAGCCCAACGGATTAGTAAGCTGAAGTGGCAATGGGCCGGCCATATTGCTCGAAGAACCGATAACCGATGGGGAAGAAAGGTTCTCGAGTGGCAGCCTCGTACCGGTAGGCGTAGTGTAGGGCGACCCCCCACTAGATGGAGTGACGACCTGGTAAGATATGCAGGAAGTCGATGGATGCAGGTGGCTCAGGACCGTGCTTTGTGGCATTACTTGGGGGAGGCCTATGTTCAGCAGTGGACTTGTGAAGGGCTGTGATGATGATGATGATGATATTTTAGTGAACTATTTCAAGTATTTAAGCCGCATAATCCCTGTCCCTTATTTTTGTGTGGAATTTATTAATTAGAGCAGCAGCTACTCTATCATCAAATGTGTAGAAGCCCTGTTAAAGTAATTTTGGCGAAATATTTTAAATTCGGTTTTAAAAATGTCATTCACCACCTTTACTATCCATATCGACCCATAGTCACGGCTCTGGACTTATCAGCATATCTTGTCATTAACTGAGATTCACCAATCTGCTGGAGACAACAGTACCCGACAAACTCCATATGGAATGAGAAAATTTCTTACAGCTATTTCTGCTTGGGACATATGATTTGTGTCTACATTCATAGAAACAAAATCCTCATTTAATATTTCACAGGCCATATTCATGAGCAGCTCTAATGTACTTCTTGGAACTTGCATGGAACTTGCTTGTTCGTCACTATCTATTATATTTACTTGACAGTCTCGGAACTTCAGACAGAATTTGTAGCCAGATAATAATGTATATTTCTTTTTTCACTTATACTCTGTTAGTTAATATTATTATTATAGGATATTCATAAAGTATTCCCATCTCTCATTATTATTTATTGTTACCAATTTAATATTTCTTTGTGGATAACGGTGCTGGTTACATAAGGACTAAGACTAATGTTATTTACAAATAGTTACTTTGTTTAAGCATTATTATGTAATTGTTTGTTGTCCTGAATAAAAAAAAGTATAGTATGCTCAGGCATACTCTGAATATTTTCAGTCTATATGATGTGCATATTATCTTTCTATAATGTAGCAAAATCTTCAATTTGTGCTGCACTAAATGTTTTAATAGGGTTATTTTGTTGATTCTAAAAGTACATTGCAAGAGTTACCATTTAAATGGTAATTACATATTCTATATTCTAGAGGTAAGTACATTGTTTTTTATAGGATAGGACGACAAACGAGCACACAGTCCACCTGATGGTAAGTGATTGCTGTGGCCCATAGACATCTAAATCTATACTCGATTACAAATCAAAATGCAGACGCGTTGTCACTAATTGAATTGAATAAGATGGAATACCTCGTTTCCAGTAAAAAGTCTCTGGTTCTATACACTCACCATACGAAATACAGCAGCATTAAGCTACTATTTCACGCCGATATTCAGTGAGAGTGTGGTCCTTCCCTGGTCGAGCCGACTCATTTGTGCTACAACTATACTACTAATATAACTGCAGCATGACTCTACCACGTATAACATACATACATAGTAATTGTATTCGCAAAAGAGACGTACCCGCAATGCTGATGGAACAGTGAGTCGATTGGAATTATTACAACCAGGTAAAAAACATTGATTGGGTGTTAGTAGTGCTTTTACATAATTAGTTAGCAGTATAATGTGTGATGATCTGTTGATCTAAGCTTTGTTGTTATGGGTGCAATACATTACTCACTTCAGATTGCTATGAGGATGAACTAGAATATTCAGATGGTTCCCATTTTGCAGTTGAATGTGATGTTGTTCTATCAGTCCTTTGCCAGCAATTATGATAAGCACGAGATGACGATGACAACTGAAATAATGTTAAATACAAAAAATTAAGTCAAAGTGAAAAAAAGAAATTTATTTGATTTTAAACTCAAATATAAATAAATTATTTATCAAGTTAAATGTTACTGCACAAAGGCAGACTTAATGCTTTATATTATTTAATAATTAAGGCCTGACAGACTACCAGCAGTCCAAAAACAATGATAAATCACGTAATTAATCTCGTAAATAATCTAGTATGTTTGTCAGACAGTTTATGCAGATGTGAAAAAATAAAACAAGTTCTTAAGATGACATGCAATCGGTTTAAAAACATGTTTAACTATCAGATATGAGTACCACACTTAATAAATAGAAAAATGTTAAACACTTACCTCACGTGATGCAATTTCATTGGCAACCTCATTCTTTATGAGTTCCTCATGTGGAGAATCGAATCCAAACAATGTGTGCGATCTTATTCTCATATGTGATTTGCCACAGCTTATGCATACATGTTCATGACAAACTATTGGTGCATTTTTCGAGTGGCACACTACATGTACACTGTCAATCGAAACTTGTACCTAATAAAGAAGCTATAATTATTATATTGATATTATTTAAGTAAACTTAGTTAAAAAACATTTCTCGAAAGAAGACATGACACTTCGTGACATGTACCAACTATTTACCTGCTGTGTTCTAACCAATTGTTGAGAGATTAACAATTCAATTTCCAACAAAACAAAACTCGTAAACCGTCGTAAACGAATTCGTATTGACTTGACAGGAGCCTAGCTGTCAGATTCGATGTTACCACTTAACTGTCATAAAATCTATGAAACGATATCGATTTTTATTTGATAAATAATATCATAAAAAAGAATAGTCTTTGACGCGCTTTGAGTTCTGTACACTTTTTAAAATATGTTTTCCTTTATTTATTGAAATTCTATTTCAAATGTACTTTAAGAACAGTTAACTTGTGCAGTATTGTTTTTTTATGCTCTAGAGAATTCATGGTAAATCAGCTAGAAATTAACTTCTTTAATTATCATAACACGATTTCATTTTAAATGTAATGTTAAGAACAGATAAGAATAACAGTTAAATTGTGCAGTAGTGTTATACTCTAAAGAATTCGTGGTAAATCAGTTAATTATTCGCTTTTTTAATTATTATAACTATAAATGTGAAGTTTATCAACGAGCCGATAACAACGGTTGTTTTTGTTTTCAACGGTCGACAACCGCTTTTGATGGCTTCAAATGGATAAAAACAATAAGTTGCATGTGCAATAAGTTTTTTCTCTTTGGTAATGTATAAACCACAGAAACCCCTATAATGTATAATAGTTCTTTTTTTTTTTTGACATACAAGTAGCACATTTTCAAGAACCGCAAATACAACTTTGTGCTACAAAATTATTTATTGCTGGCGATAATGATAGTGATATTTTGACTCGATGTAAAATCTATGCTTGTTACTACAGAAATCTTCACGCGAGTTCGACTGGCACTGAGCCACTTTTTTTCAACTTTTTGTTTTTATTTTAATAAATAGTTTTTACGTTAAAGCGGAGCTCTTTTGCTTTAGATTCATTACTTATATCTATAACAATCAATCTGAGTAGCTAAAGTGTGTAAATTCTTAAGTTGTAAAAATAATAATTGGAGTTATTGGAGGTAGGTATTCAGTTTTATTTATTTAGAAAATATTAATCTCACAATTAATTATTGTAATTATATAATTTTATCACACAAATAACGCGCTCAGTAGCAATGTAATGGTATAATAATAATTTTCAAAATCGGTCAAGTAATTTTCGAGATTAGCCAAAAAAACATATACATTGAAAGTAGCGCTCTCTACAATAAAATGCATCCTATATTAGACAATTATACACAACAATCTAGTGGTGAAAGAATTTTCAAAATCGGTCAAGTACTTTACGAGTTTAGCAAAAAACATTTTCGTTGATAGTAGCGCCCTCTATAGTAAAATTCATCCTACGTTTTTCAACACCATAGCAAAAACGATTCAGCTTAGCCACCCGCACACACAGTAAAAACATAACCATCCTTTTTCGTCTGTAGTCGGATTAACAAGTGGTTGACAACTGTTGCGTATCGACTGCATTGGATAAATATTCATTTTAAACGGTTGCTTTACACCTATATCATAACATAATAATAATTATCGAAAAATTATATTAGCATTGTAATAATGATACCGTAAGTAATCGATCGGAAAAGGGAAATCGATTTTTTTAATGATATTTGTGATTGGCAACATTTTTTATTTTATTTACAAACTAATGAATTACGTATTTACCTAATTTTATTTTTATCTTTTCGGTACTTTTAATTTGTGCAAAAATATTCCCATATTTTTATGATAAATGGATAATGCGATTAATAACCATAAATAAAGATATATTTTTTAACAAATGCACATTGTTGGGCGTTCTATAGCCGAAAATGGGCATCTCCCTTTGTGTCTGAATATGTTGTTCACGAATGTTTGTGGAACGTTAAAAACAATTTATACAAAAACAAACAGGCTAGGCATTAGGCATACACTGCCTTAAAAGAAGCTATGGGTATTCCTGGCCTCGACGTTAACGCGGTTATCACAAAAGTGAGTAATTAATGTAATTAATTAATTATGTGATTTATCAAATCAATGTAATTTTTGTAACTTTTCTAATATAGTAGTTTCTACTGATTTATTAATTGGTTCACTGTTCCCGCTGATGGTAAATGTATGTGCACGTGTGTGTGTGTGTGTGGGGGGTGGGTGGGTGTAAAACAAACTGTTAATAGAAAAAAATTTGTTATTATTATAACTTCTATAATAATAACAACATTTTTTCTATTAACAGTTTGTTTTGTATTTCAGATTAAAAACATAAGATCAACTTATTCACAAGAGGTAAAGAAAATTAACGATTCAATGAAATCTGGAGCTGGAGCAGATTCCATATACAAGCCGAGTGTAAAATGGTTCGACATACTACACGATGTGTTACGAAGCATAAAACCTAGAAAATAGAAAGACGCGTAGTAATGTGGTATGATTTTTTTCTTACATAAAAATTAGTGTATCATTCGTGCCCGCCAGGAGACAGATCCTTCGCCCATAAAATAGTCTGCAAACTTTTCTCTGATCTGACGTGCGTTTTGCGACGAATGGTTGTACATGTGTCTAGGTATTGGCACAAGTCCCTCTGAAGGTAACTGTCTCCAGCTCCCTTCTACAAAATGTTCGTTCTCAGTGTCTTCAAAGTCCATTGTATGTTCTAATATCGAACTTTTGATGATTCTGAGCCAGTTGTGTAAAGCACAACAAGCTTTTACAATTTAACAACAGTGTTTGGGCAATAAGGCAGTGGTTTTCCGAATACTTGAAATCTACTAACTAATATCCCGAAGGCGTTTTCAACAATACGTCTAGCACGAGACAACCGGTAATTAAATTTTTTTTCTCTTTGTGTTAAATTTTGTCCTCCGAATGGCTTCATCAAATAAGGCTTCAGAGGGAAGGCAGCATCTCCGACTATAACATGATGTTCTGGTAGCAAGCCATTTTCCAAAACATCACTTAAGTTGCAGTTTCGGAAAACTCCTCCATCAGATATTCTACCATTGCACCCGATATCGATATATGAAAAACAATAGTTGTCATCTACCAAAGCCACTAATACAAGGCTATTTTGTTGCTTGTAATTATAGAAATAGCTTCCTGCTTCAAATGGAGCTTTAATGACGACGTGCTTGCCGTCAATTGCTCCACAACACCCAGGAAAGTTCCAAGATTTTCTAAAGCCATTTGCATTATTAAAGAATTAATAAAAACCTTGATATTAATTTATGTAGATTTTGAATTTCTGCAATGTAATTTACACAAAAATAAAATAATTGATTACTTATTAAATTTGTCTAGCCGCTTTTTCATATTCAATTATGTCAAAAATATAAATAAGATACTCAGTGGGAAAAGATACTGTGATGATAATGATGATATATGTCAAATGAAAGCCAAAAAATATTTCCACAAGTGTAAAAAAAGACGTTTTATTCAATAAATGCATTTTTCTTTCTGAAATGAGTTTTTATTTTTACATCAGAATCTATAATACTTATTGTAAGAAATAGTACACATAAATAAATTTCTTACAATAAATAAAACTAAAAAAATATATAGAAACTGGTATATAGAAAAAGTAGCTATATATACTAGGTGTATAGTATAGCTATATGATAAAAAAAAAGTTGTTTCATCTGACACCACCAGACAGCAGCACATTCATTTTTAAGCTTGAGATTCCTCTCTATTTCAGTATATTAGAAATTACTCTGTGCATACTCATAATCTCATTCAATATCACAAATTATAACGTTGTATGTACAGGAATTCAATATAACAGAATAATGAAGGTAAATTATAATGTTTGAGATAACTACGATCTACTACGATTAAGATAACACACACAATTGAAAAGATGCAACATAGTGTTGACGGAGACTACACAATAATAAAAATTAAAATTAAAAACTATGTAAACTTACGCGAAGACACTATTTCTTGCCTGCAGTGCCAACACGTCGACTTTTGGAGGCTCCAGCTGGTGCCCTGGCCGCGGCCGTTGTCTTCGACTTCGATACAGGAGGCTCAACAATTTTATCGAGTTGGGTCACAGAGCTAAATCGATGTCGAACGCCACCGCTATTCCGTATTTTCGTCGAGGTGCCATAAAAGCTTCATGTCGAGTCTTTGTTAAAATCTCCGACAGAATACCAGTCCTCTTCAAAGACGTCTTAGCTTGCTAGATCTTGTTCTTCACCTCTAACTCCTACGTCTTAAACAGGATTGGTCTTGGTTTGTCAGAGGAGGAAGTATGGCCCATGAGATGGCAGCGAGATATATCTTTGTCCGAGAAACCAGGCAACTTTAACCGGTCAACAAGAACCTTCACTAATACCTGTAGTGTCCTCATTATTTCCTCTGGAAGGCCATGAAGTAATAGAATCTTCAGCCGGCTTCGCATCTCCATTTTATCTACCTGTTGCACCAGCAGGCCTACCTGGTCTTGAAGATTATGAAGGGCTGCTTGATAAACAGTCTGGACACATAGTTTAGTTTACGATGGGCTGTTTTCCGCAACTCCACGTCTAAGCGCGTATTTTGTGTGTGGTCAAACAGTCTGGATGAGGCGAATTCAGATGTCAAATTGGCAATGTTGGTCGCAGGTGCTGCATCTTGGAGCTCACTTTGATAGATATCCATGGGCTGAGTAAACATTTTCTGGAATTTTGTTATTGACTCTTGAATTGCATTCACTTTGAAAAAATCATGTGCAGTACAAATGTCAGTAAATTGTGAGTCTAATTTCTATTGATTAAGTTTGTAAACAGTAAGGATTTTACTGCCTGGTAGGTATAATGGTTAGTAATTTAGTTTCCCATATAGTTACAATACTATTGTTTGTTTTGTAACTATATGGGGAATTGGGATTGGGAAATTGGGAGTCTTAACAAAAGCAATGTATATATTGCCCCAACCAACAAAGAAAAACCATATATTTGATTTCACTCCATAGTTATTACAGGCTTAGGACTGTTATCCTAGTGAATAGCGTATAAATATAGGTATTGTACAATTTTTAATCATTGTTCAATTAATAATACAGCGTTTGTCGAATCATTTTTCGTTATTAGAATTATTTGAAATAATACCTGAATCTTTTTTTTTTCGGGATATGATGTTAATTACTACTTATTATCAAGGTAAGATGTCAGTTGTTACACATCATATGCGACTATGTTAAGGCTCGCTCGCTTTTTGTAAATAACATAACCTCTACACTAGGATTCTCCTGTATTGTGGGGGCTTATATATAGCAAAAGCTTACATACATAAATTCACAAGTACAATAATACAAACTTGGGACAATTACTTGTAGGCCATACATATACCTGTTCCGTGTGGGATTTGAATCTGCAGCCCTCAGTGCTGGAACTCATTCCAAAGCCACTGATCCACGGACCCGTCTTATATTCTTAGTTTGAATTGATTGATTTACTAATTGTACGTTAGTTAATTGGTTATTTACAAAGACATTTCATATTTTGTTACACAGTGTGTAATAATAAAGGCAACCAATTATTAATATACCTATTTTCTTTCGTAAAAAACAAAAAAATTTGATGAAAAATTTAAGGATTATGAGAATAGCATTATTAATGGTTTTCTGGAAGTTTTAGAAGTTTGAGTTAGCTATTTTAACTGTTGGCAACACTGATCTGTAGCTTGCTACCATAGATTACTGACTATGTACTAGAGATCTAAGTCAGTGCTAGAGATAGATGAGCAACTCAAATTTTATTTACGTTAAGTTCAGTGTCCATCCGTCAGATGGCGTAAAATTAAGAGTGCTTTGGGCCCGCCCTTTATTTGCACTTTACAATTTTATATTTTTAGAACCATTAATTACATTGCACAAGTGGTGCAATGTAATTAATGGTTCTTTATATTTCTTGTGCTAATTGCTAGTTCCTATTAATAAAATAAAAACCGGATATATTTAAAATGTTTATTGTTTAAAACTTCTTTGCCTAAATTATTAACATTAGATGTGTTAAATTTAACAATATTTGCACAATATCAATTGATTTCTTTAAACACATTCTTTTTAACTGGTTAGTTAAGTTAGGAAATATATTATGTTACAGAGAATACAATACAATAGAATTATTATTATTAAATATAGATTATTACATAATACTTATTGAAAGTCATGTTTTATTTACTACAGATACCTCTGTCCTGGGAAGAACCAACAAGAAACCCAGCGGGACGTTTTTTAAAACATATTTCACTTTACAATAATTTTGTTTATACATTTTTTAAATAAATTTTAATAGTACGAGCATGGTGGCGATCACCTCAATCCCAGGGGTTATTATTGATGTATTTTTTGATATTATAATAACACTTTGTACATTTTTCCTTAAATAAAACATTTCAACTTATTTATTGACAAATTTTGTACATTTTCTAAAATTTTGTTTTAAAAGCGTATATGTTGCCCCATAAAAGCACTACTGACTCAGTAGAGTCTAGTAACTGGTGTTACAAGCTTATGTTTGTTCCTAGTTTTTAAAATATAAGCATCTTTATTCCTATGAAAGCTATTTCTGTTTTTATGCACATACATTACATTTTCGTATATATTGCTATGCCAAAGTTAATAAAACATCCAACACACCCTTAAAATAAAACAACAATATAATGACAATTACAACAAATTATTTAAATTCTGTTGTATGCTGCCAATCGAAGAAAAAATAAAACTTACTTTACTTGTAGAGCAGTTCTTTAATACAAAATTACCAAGTCATACCGACGTACAAACACCAGCTTAGAAGTATATATAACCCTAAATTAATTATAGCTAAAACACATGATATGTATGGCGACCATCAAAATAAGATTATTATTCCTAAATTAATTAATAAACTACCTAAAACCTTAAAGGAAAATATCAATCCCAAAAATATTAAATACAAATTAAAAACATACTTTTTGAATCAACTAACATAATAAAACTAAAAACTAACATACTTAATATTTTTAATATAATTACCATATATTACAAAAATATTAAATAATATTTCCTCCAAATATCCTGTATACTACTGTAACTAGCCACTACAACTCATCCTAATGTTATTTTTATAGTAACGAGCGAAAACTGCAGTGTGCAGAAAAATCTTATATAGGTTTATGTTGCACTGTACTTATGAACTTTGTTTAGTATGTATTTTAGTTGTTGTAAAATAAAAAATAAAATAAATAATAGATTTATTTCTTTACATTTTTCACTACGCGACTCTTTACAATTTAGGATATAAATTGAACGTACGGCTCTCTTAAAAAACAAATATGGCTTCAATGTCAGTTGCATGACTCTAGTAGTAATACCAAGAAAAACTGTGCTTTCCCAATCCATTTAAGAGCACATTGATTATTGAATCCTCTCCAAAGGTTTG